TGGGGCATAATTTTTTTATTATATATTTATATTTAAAAATAAAAACTTATAATAATGATAAGGACTTTTTTTTATGTTTCTTCATGGGCCTTTGAGGATATTTTCTTTCTCAGGCCGACCGTGCCTTTTCTTCTGTGGAGATTTCACTATCTAAGAGATTATATTCCGAATCTTCTTTAGTCTTCTTCTTTCCCTTCACTACCAATGCTAGGGATCCCATACCAAAGACAATCTTTACCTCCTTTGTAACTTCATCTTCATGGGATCTCATAATTCCTACAAGCTTTGCCAAAGAGTAACTCTTGAATTGTTCATGTTGCCTTCACAATGGACACAATCTCTTTCCATTCTGACCTAAGTCCATTCATAAACGTCACTTTCTGTTCAATGACCATTCGTTCAAGATTATATTTGAGCATTGTACTCAGTAAGTGGTTGAAGCGATTGAATGTTTGATCAAGCTTCTCATCGGGTTTCTGAACAAATGAACCAAACTTAGACAAAAGTGTTGTTTGTAAAGAATGTTCTAGATATGCATCACCAGAATACAACTCCTTCAACTTGTCCCGTATTTCCTTAGCAGTAGTATATACACTTACATGACGAAAGGTATCCGAAGGAAGAGAAAACCGTATAATTCTCATCGTCTTTATATTGCTTAACAGTTTCTCCTTTTCATCCTAGGGAACATTAGTGCGTTCAACAAGAAGTGCATTGTATCCAGCCTGAGTCTTAAAAACCTTCCTGGTTGCAGTGTGCGAAAAAGTCTCTTAAGTCATCGCTTGCCAAACGGTTGAACCATGTTCTTTAATGCCAAGAACATGGTCTTCAAAGTGCAACACCCATACTTCATTATTTTTGTGGGAAAAGGATTGGGATCCTAGTAGTAGATCTGATACTATTGTAAAGATTGAAAGAAAGAGAATGAGGATCTTCGGGCTGCATGATGGCGAGATTAACAAGACTGGTATAGAATCAGATGTGTAAAACAATAATCGAGTTTAGGGTAAAAATCAGGATGTAGACCTAACGTCTATAACCAATAGAAACAATCAAGACAATAACAAAAGATCCAATAAAAATGCAAAACCTTAAAAAAAACTCGACAGAAGAGTAGCGTATGAGTTACACTATCTCCTGCTCTGATACCAATTGTAGAAAACAATAATTACTTAAATCAATAGATTCTATCAACGTTAGTGAATAAACAACAAGAACAATAAAGATCAAATAGTGTCAAATAATTACATTGAATAGCTTTAGAAGAGTTCAATGTGAACTTCTCAATGAAAGTTAGGTAGGACAATACAATCGTTAACCCTAATTGTTACATGGATGCACATTAAATAGTCTAACCCTAGAAAGTAATAAACATAGATGGAGAGTCCCAAACAGGTGTAAATGAGACTATAATAGCATATACAATTGACACAACACATAATAAGCCCAACATTTATAGGACATAATGAACGTTTTCACGCGGTTAAGGGAAGATTTCAACACTCCACACAAACGATTCATCAATGTTTTCACGAGATCGTAACTACAATGATGTGTTTTGAAAAAGAAATTATAGTACCAATAACTCCTAATTGTGACATCCCCAAAATCACGGCCAGAAAAGACCGATTTTGTTTATGCTTTATAAAAATCAGAGTACTTCATTTTATAAAAAGGTTGCGGAATTTGTTCCCAGAAAAACACGATAAATACGTTATTAAAATATTTTCGAAGAAACGTATTTTTATTCATCTTAAAACGTTTGGGATGTCATCGTTAATACAGAAACATAAGCATAAACAAACTTACAATTATTTACACTAAGTGATCTACATCTCTTTAAATCTCTCAGTGTAATGTCACTTCATATCGCCACCTGTGATGTAAATAAACTGAGTGGGTCAGGTTGGGAAGCTTGGTGAGTACATAGGGTTTTTCAACCCACACTACTAGAAAAAGGCCTTTTACGACGCTCATTGTGCGTCGTAAAACGCTCAGACGACGCGCAAATGCGTGTCAAGGAAGGCCCTGTCATAAAGAGAGACGACGCGCTTTTGCGCGTCGTCTATAGACGACACGCATTTACGACGCGCATTTATAACGCGCATTTACGACGCGCGGTTACGACACGCAATGCGTATCAAGGAAGGCCCTATCATAAAGGAAGACGATACGCATTCGCGTGTCGTAACCTTACGACGCGCGTGTTAATGACACGCAATGCGTATCAAGAAAGCCTCTGTCAAGAAAGGCCATGTCATAAATGAAGATGACACGCATGTTTGCGTATCATAATTTTAAATGTTAAAAAAAAATTATTTTTTATAGATTTACTAATTTTCAAATTAAATTTGCATTTAATGCCTCACAATATAAAATAAAATATCATATACAAAAAATATAATCCATTTCATAAAATTTAATGTCTTACAATTATATTTCTTACAATATATAAATTTACATGTAAAAAACATCTCTACAGTCTACATGTTTCATGCTTGATTTCCATCTTTTATTGTTTTTAAAAACAAAAGTTCTAACAAGAAACCTTCTTTTAGTAATGCAAGTGATGCTCTTGATAAGCTGATATTCTTAAGTGTAACGGATCCCTCATTACTTGGAGATGCTGGTGAGCTTGAAATCCAAATTAAACCTGATCCAGAAAAAGGGACAATCACAATATCATAAGATTACTTACTTTTCTTCATTCTTGAATCTTTCCTCATAAAATACAACTCTACAAGAGATTTATAAACCTTTTTTTACCCTTATTGTAGAGACACTGGTATTCGAATGACCAAAGAAGAACTAATAGACTGCCTTGGAACCATTTCTCAAAGTGGTACTTTACCTTCTTTCATATAAATCATTAGCAAATATGTACTACATTACATTAATTGGTTAATTTTATAAAATGTTGAATCTTTTTGTTTAGGAGAACAAGGATCTTGGAAATGATAACAGTTTAATTGGTCAGTTGTTTTTTACACTCTCTGGCACTGCAGTAGAAAAGATGTATTTTTTTTTTATACCAAGTGGCTCTCAGTCTCACTTTACAAATTTTCATGTTTTGGGAAAACAAAATACCTGAGTAGGACCCTTAAATATTGAGTCATCAACTGCAATTGAAGGTTTCTTGATGAAAGCCCTAATTTTATTAAAGAGGAAGAGGCGACTAATCCGTAAATGGAAGCCTTTGGATTAGCTAGTCATCCAGTTTCTCTGAAAAATAGAACACCACACTATTATTAATAATATATTTTAGGTGCCAATACAAGTGAAAAAATTCTTGGCACATAGTGATGGGATGAAGGTTGTTGAATCTGCAAAGGTTTCATTCGAGGGTTCTCCAAATGGTTTAATTTTTAAAGAACTTGATCGGTATAAACTATAAACAGTTAAACACACCCATATTTCATCTTTTTTTTAATTATATAAACAAACTTTTTTTTTAAATTATACAGACCAAGTGGACAGCCTTGTATTGAAACCAAGGAGTTTAATCTTGTAAGAAACATGCTTATTACTGCTGTTGAAGAACGTTATAGAGATGTTGGTATTTTTTTCTTACTTTTTGTCTTAACCCATTAAGTCATTTCCTCCAGATCAAGTGCTTAACCCATTAAGTGTTGTTTTTCACACAGCACAATGGAGGGACAAGCTTACTCAATTCCGATCAAAGAAGAACCGGGCATAAAAGGTAGTGAATTCCTCTTTATTTATTTTGCAAACATATAATTAAAAAAAAAACATTTGAGTAACAATGTTCAACTATATATATATCATGTGATGCAGGAGGATCAAATCTGTAAATAATTGATCGAAGAAATGATATGAACTCACGTCTTTTCGTCCCCATGTGTAGCAACGTCCATCGACATATCAATATCCAATGCCACACAATGATTAGATGTTGCATAAAATGTTCAAGAACATTATAAACTTAGGGATTTTAACAGGGCAAATGTAGGTCTTCTTCAGGAGCTCTTTTCATCCATTCCTGTAATTTATTTACACATGTGCTATTATAAATAATTCTGATTACAAAGTCAAACACATGTAAAGAAAAGTCAAAAGTAATACCTAAATGGTGGAGCCAGTGATTTTTTCAACAGAAAATGCAGTTCCATACCATGGCTCTATTAGCTCAGTATGTCCATCAAAGTTTGTTGACTCCCAAATGTTTCTGGAACCAGAAGGGCATACTGAGAAATCATATAAATTTAGCCAGCACTAACAAACTCATTGATAGATGATACGCTACCTTACATTGTTTGGTGTGATCTCACTTAGTGCAGACTGAATAACTTCAGGGGGAAAAAGTGGAAGGTAAAGATGATCCAACTAGCCAATCTTTTGAAGGGTATAACTGCAATGTTGTTCAAAATCAAAATGATTATTCAAATAAGTAAAGCAAAAATATGATAAAAAGTGCAAATACCTGCATATTTGATGAAAATTTCACAACATAATCAATTAGAGGAATCTTGTCCTGATAATGGAAAGTCATCTCACAGATTGCAGAAAGCTATATGGATCATATAACAAAATAACATCATTTGATTTTATTTTAAAAAAAAAAGAGTATGAACATGATATGATAATATTTTCTAGTATTTTCAGGTACCTCATCATAGATCCACTTGCAAACACCATATCACTGCAAGAGTGTAATGTATTTGAAAAGGAGCCTAATTATATGTTCAGCATTTGCTGGTGTTTTCATGAAACATATATTACAAATGATGTCAGTATCTAAATAATCATGAAAGAAATGAACACACACACAGAGAGAAACAGAAGACTGGAAACACTAACCATGTCCAACATCAGTTAATTCAATAACCACTTTAAAGAAAGAGAACTCCACAGTCCAGTTTGATTCACCAGCAGACAAGCTTGTTGCCCAACCCAATTTCTTCAAGACATAGAAGAGGGATCCTTCTCCTTCATGACCAATTAAGTGTCCAAGATACCTACTTGGCCCTTCCATGTAATGATCAATGCCATGTGTCATTGGCCATGTGATTCTCAGCTTGTGACCACGTTTTACAGGAACAATTTTCACAATAACCTAATGAATAAATGCAACAAGACAATAAATGAAAGCAATTAAGCGTACAAATGAAAGCAATTATGCGTACCAAGATAATTATTCATAAATTTTGGGGCACGAAGAGGTCGACCCCTATGATTAGCAATAGAAATCTTCCACCTATCAAGAACAGTAACTGCAGCATGCTCCATGTGTTGCAACATCATACAAAGTCCTCCTTGTTTCTCTACAGACCCCAAACCACCACCCCAATTCAAAACCCTAGCCAAGTCACTCCCAGTTCCAACAGGTAGAATGGCTATAGGAGGGGGTGAAACGTAACTTTGCTTCTCAATTGCATCCAATACCCACCCTGCTGTCCCATCTCCTCCACATACAAGAATTTTGGAATGAGCTACTCTTCTGAATAGATAAAGACCAACTTCTGGCCCTTCTGTTGAACTCAACTCAAATATCTACAAAAAGTTTCATCAAGATTTTAGAAATTTTGGTCAAAAGATAAATCAAGAACATATTTAGCTAAAATATCAACCTAATTTGACAAATTCATATGAATTGTTGAACAGATAAAGTGATTGATGCACCTTGGAGAACATATTTAGCTCTAACATCGAGAATATAAGTAGAAATTTTACCTGCAATGAGTAGCAAACTGTCATTCTCTTCAGTCGCAGCTCCTCCAGGAATGGATACGCTTTGGCGAGAACACTCAACCATGGATGAACATCAGCTCCCCAATCATCCGGTACTAAATTGAAATCTGAAAACCTCGGTTTCCCCTTCAAGGTTTTGGTTCGCTTCTTATTTAGATCCATACTTTGCTGGAAATTTTCAATTAATGATTCAGCTCATTTCAATAAGATTCGAAGCTAAAATCTTCATATTTCAGAACTAGAATTCAACGAAATTCACTGCCGAGATTTCTCCAAAAACTTCAATCAATCGTGGAACTGATTTCGGTTCAAGACTAACCGACAAAAACTTCAATCAATCGTGGAGGCAGTTTTAGGAGTTTGACATTATGGAGGTGGGAACGTATTCGCAGGGGAAGGTGGAGGGATAACAATCATTCCGAAGCTTGATCGGTACTGGGAGAGGGGATGCATCAGGTGCAAGATACGCACGCATCACGCATCAAGACCTAGGGCTTGTAAGTACAACAAAAAAATCATGAGAAACCTTCATCGTCGAAAAGAAATATTGTAGATGGAAGAGAAAGTTGAGATGGAAGTATTGAAACCCACATCAGGAGCTGACGACTAAAGCTATTAATAGATAGTATTAACAGAGGGTGAGTCGGAAAATGACATCAACGGAGGTGAAGGGAACGCATAAAGAAACCCCTATGAGAGAGAAAGCAAGAGTCGATTTGAAGCAACCGACAAATGAAATTGAAAGGTAGAGGCGCTACACTCTTTTTTTTGTTCGTGTCACCACACATCAACATAGAGAAATCGAGAACCCCTACGGGTTTGTTCAGTTCAAAAGACGGGATCAGAGATTTGGTGATATTACGATTTTGTTGTGGGAGAAAAGAGAATTGATGATGATATTAGGGTTTTTTTTGTGTATTAGAGAGAGAGAGAGAGACTAAGAGAGAGAGAGAGAAAAAAAAGAACGATGGAAATAAGGTAGAGAAGAACAATGGCGACCTTTCAAACTTTTGGGATTTTCGTTTCCCCCCGCTGCAAAAGAGGAGAAAGCGCCTTTCATTCAAAAAATATAAAGCGACATTTCTAAACGACGCCCATTTTTAAGTAAGTGCCCTCCGTGTTTTTAATTTTTTTTGTTGGACATTAATTCTAGGGCGCGTACAAAAGCGTATCGTTTATCCTTCAAATTTTAGAAGAGATGACATTATTTTAAGGGTACATGCTTTTGCGTATCGTAAATCACCGCGTGTCATTGTTTGCGCGTCATTAAAGGGTTTTTTTCTAGTAGTGCATCTTCTAAATTCATAAGAACATGAACATGATTATCAAAGTTTCAAGAATTATATGAACACATACAAAACATGAAATTTTGATATATGTTATTGTAAATGGATTAGAACAACCATTACACCAACTAAAATAAGTTTTAAAACATCAAAACAGTTTAGGGTAAAGTTTCTAGTCCATTTCCAGCAGCAAAAGTCGAAAATCTACATTCTGAACCTTCTACTCGCCGAGTGCACGAACCTACTCGGCGAGTAGGATGAATTTTGCCTTGGACTCGGCGAGTCCCCCCATGGACTCGGCGAGTCCATCATGCAGACAGCAAAAATTTCGACTTTTTTCACTATTTTGCATCAAGTATCAAACAAGCAAGCCTAGGCTCTGATACCACTGTTGGGTTTTGAGCAATCTAACACTTCCTAAGTGTGCATGCAACCCTAATAAACCTTGGATCTATGTTTGTCTAAATACATGCAAAATAATAATTTTCCAAGGTTCATAACCTATCTAACATGGCATGGGGTATTTTTAAACATAAAAGAGTTAGATGAGATTACATACCTTTTGATGATGAGTTTGATTCCTAAGGAGTTTGAGGGCCAAGCACCAATAGTGTGAATGCCTCAAATGGAATCACAAATCACCACAAACTCTTGGAAAACTTTGAGAGAGTGTATACACACTATAAAATCAGCCACACACATGCACACACACTAGTGACACTAGTATACACCCTAATAACCCATGTCTTTTCCTTTCCAAGGATCCATGGGTTAAAAGCTCCATGGATCATCCATGGACTTCCATACAAGCCTAACCCATTAACAAATGAGTGTTAGCCCACACCATATAAAACCAATAGCCCACAATCTAATTAGTCTTCCTTTTAATCTCTAAATTAATTCATAATTAATTTAAGACTAAGACTAATTAAATAACATGACTTCATATTAATATATTATAACTTATAATATATTAATAATCATATGTGTATAACTCTCATAAAATTATCCATAAATAGTTTGGATGAAATGCCACCCAAATGGACCATGCCGGGTCGGGTCAAGTATGTACCAAATAAGTTATGGACTTAGACACCTTATCCAACAATAAGATGTATGCATTGTATGTGATTAAGTTAACCGTTTTGTATGTGCTATGTATGCTATGCTTGTTATGGGCCGGAAGGCATTATGTTATGGGCCGGAAGCAATTATGTTATGGGCCGGAAGGCATTGTGATGTGGACCGGAAGGTCGACACGGGTAGGACCGGAAGGTTTACCGGGTTGGGACGGAAGTCCCCTGAGACACATGGACCGGAAGGTCATGGTCTGGAAAGGCGTATGTGTGTAAGTAGTATTTTGGGGAACTCACTAAGCATTTATGCTTACAGTTGTTGTGTTATGTGTTTCAGGTACTAGCGAGGACCGTGGGAAGGCGCCGACATGATCTGTACACACTGTCGGAAGATTTATTTATGATCTTGGGATTTGACATGTTTTGTATTATGATTATGATAAACTGGATTTTTATGGTTGATTGGATGAAAATATGTTTTTAAAAAATGAAAAATTCTTTTGAAAATTCACGTTATTACTGTCACACCCCCCGAAAACCGAAGGGAAACATTTCTGGGGCGGACTCCGCGTTAAGTATCAAATCCAATGCACATAGTAAGTAAACTAAACAACCATTACATTACATATAGAATTTACATTTGTTTCAAAAGTGAAGTTATACAAGTGATATACATATGCATCATATTAACAAAAGTAAAGACGAGATCTTCAGTATGCTCCGTCTTCTCCAAAAGGATTGTTGGGTACCTGTCTATCTTGGACCTGAGAATACAAGCGGTTTGAAAATCAGCATAAAGCTGGTGAGTTCATAAGATGTTTGTTTTTCTGAAAATGTACCAATTTCCTTTAGTTTTCCAAAAAGGTTTGTTATCCAAGAAAATCCCATATTTTCTTATGTAAAGTTAGTTTAGTTATCACTTATTACCAATTCGTTTATGTGTTGTTGTAAAGTCCCGAAAAACAGATCTACCAATGATCAAAGATAATCATAGATGCAAACACGAATTAATAAGCAAAAATAGAACAAAAATACCAAGCTTGCATACGCTTCAATGCTATAAAACGTCTGATGCAACTTGGGAGAATACGAAAGTATCAACAACAAATAATGACTAACACAACCCCTATTTATAGGCTAGACTCACGACCGTACAGAGTTTACGGCCGTAAAGAGTTTACGGCCGTAAACTCATTCTGACCGTAAACTCGTTACAAAACAATCATAACCACACACTTACTGCTATCAACTACTATACCTAGACCAAACCACTATACAGGGTCTATCAATCTCCCCCTTGGTTTGGACTAGCTCGACCCTATTCCTTTCTTTACCAGCATGACATCCATTTGGCCCATAGCACCATTCCACATCCGCTTGCTTAGGATCTCAGCAACCATCCTGGTATACGCCTTGGCTCCCTCCTCATAGATATCTTCAACCACTTTGATCTGAAAATTGCTCAGGTAATGAGTATCCCACTTCCTGAATTGCAGTAGGTCTCTTCGATCATACAACCGTATGCACCCATTCTTAAGCTTAATGACTGCACCACAAGTACTCTCATCATAAACCCAGCACTCCATAGAACCAAGCGACCCATCTTGATAACCTTGAGCAATGGGAAATTGTTTTACTTGAGTCGTGGGTGGACACATAACCACTTGCAAAGGTTTATCAGAAGAAGCTTCAAACACATCTGAATGTTCTAGAATGACTGACTCAGCAGTTGGCATTGTTGGGAAGCCCTTCTTGACTTGCTCATCCAGAAAGAATTTAAACTGCGAAAATTGAGGATTATTTAATAGATTGATAAAAGGAGCTTGTGATAACTCCGTAAGATCAACCCTTGTCAATGAACTAAAAGCACGAATATCATTATACAACTCTGAGTTACCACTCTTGCGAATAATAATCCAAAGTCGAAGAGAATCGTGAAGTCCCCAAGCAGCCACACCCGATCGATCCCCAAAAGTATCTCTGAACCGAACAATTTTAAGATCAATCACAGTGATCAAAGATCCTCCTTTAGAAGAACCCTGAGTAGCATTTCTCTTGAATAACAACTGCCCCTTCTCAGTATCATCTTCTTGATTTTTCCGAATGATCTCTTAAATATGGGAAGCCATAGGAGGAACAATAGCAATACGTTCAGCAGAACCAGAAGATTGACCAGTTGGCACATTTACTGGATATGCTTGCACATGTAAATTTATTCTTTGTTCTTCTATGTTCGTTTCATACTTCTCACCAAAATCATCCTCCAATTTCTTTTTCAATTCAAAGTAGCTCGAAGTTAGCAGATTAAAATGTTCTTGAAGATCATAAATCTGCTTACTTTTCACTTTCTTATCCCTTTTAACTTCTGCTAGTTGTCCGCCAAGATAAGTTCTATCTGACTGATGCTTAGACACTTGAGTACGAAGCTCAATGTTCTGAGCACGAAGTTCAGCTACTTGAATGTCAAGCTCTATGTTCTTCTGACTTAGCACAACAAACTCCTTTTGCAAACTAGCAAAAGATGAATCATCATCTGGAGCACCCCCTTCGTTTATAGAAATGCTCTTTCCTTGAGGACTGGACGAACGAAGCTATTCTTCTGCCATGTGCAAAGCCAGCCTCTCAGAAGCAGCATCCCTATTTAATCTTGGAACAGGAAAACCAGGAGGAGCTGAGGGGCCGCCAACATCAAAAACTGAACTAGGTCTAGTTGTGAACATCTTTGTCGCAGAAAGTCGTGTAGTAGCAGTAGTAATTGGCAGTGTAGGAAGACCACGAACCAAACTAGTGATTAGCTCGG